GTTGATTTTGTCCAGTTTCATCATTGCTTTTTGAAAAGAGAATTTGCCAAGCTCCTTACTTCATCACTCCAGAAGTCCTGACATACCCCCCAGCCCCAGGCACACTCTTAAGTTTACTTTAAGCCAAGAATACTACCAACTATTTATTCAAAATTGGCTTCATTTTAATTGAAAATCTAATCTTTCTCCAAGAGCCATTAATGGCTCTATCAGCATCTTGAAAGCATTAGGAGGCCTTACAGGGAACCATCTTGCTGAATATAAACCACATGTTCCTCACCATCACCAGACTCCAGGCCTCACTGAAAGGGGGGCACCTACCTGTGGATGCCTACACACTGCCTCAAGGTACTTAGGGGTGGGTAGGACAGGGCTTTTCTGGCCCCCTTCTATGATGGATGAAGTGTTAAGAAAACAGGTTCCTAAGCGTAAAGCTGCCTCATGTGATTTCTGATACCCAACAATACGGTTGAAACCACATTATTACCCAGCCTTCTGACTTCCTCCACCCAGCATTTATTACAAAAAACCTCCACAGGACCCTGCAAACCTCAGAATTCCACATGACAAACTATTCACACGCCAGTAAAGCCCTTCAGGGCCAGAGTGTCATGTGGGTAATTGGCAAGAACCTCTTTAAAAGGGATTCCATTCAATAATGTGTCTTTAAAAAAACTTAGCTAAACCTAAAGCTGAGCATCAAGTAATTACACTCTCAATCTTTCCAATTGCACAGTGTTTTGAAAATGTCACAAATTACAACCAAATGCTGCTGGAGCATATTTTATTGGTGGTTTTCTGGACCCCAGTAAAGGTGCTGGCCATAAGAATGGAAAGGGAAGAGTGTGCATATTTTTATATTTTTTCTGTGGAACCAATGTAATCAGAGCATATAGACAAAATATAGATGGCACCCACTGAAATACATATATTTAATGATCTTGGTCTTTTGATTTTCTTTCTTTTTTTTTTTTTTGAAAAGGAATCAATAGCCATACCCTAAGATGTGAAGGTTGCTATGGCAATGACTTACTAAAGCAGTAAATTTTTGACAAAGAAGTCATCCAAGGGGTGATACATCAAAAGATAAGACAAGGGTGTGGTCCTTCACACATGCATGAGGTTATTTGGGACTGACCCAACGGCACAATAAATGTCATGGGCCTTTCCAAACCTCACTCCCACTTCTGGCCAGGAACCCATAGGGTAACAGGATAGGTAGGGATCTGTAGAGATTTACTGCCAAACTCTGTCACCTAGAACCCTTGTAAACAATGGTCCAGAATCATTCATTCATTTATTCCTTCCTTGACACATGTTTCTTCATTGTGCCATTCCTTATGTTAAATGCTGAGAATACAGATGTTGAACATTCAAGACCCAGTTCTGGAAGTCATTATATCATGGGGAATCAGTGAAACAAATAAACCACTTTAATAGAATATGATAAGTATTTGCTATGGTCTGAATGTTCCCCAAAATTCATGTGTTGAAAATTAATCCCCACTGTAGTGGTATTAATAGGTGAGCCTATTGGGAAATGATAATTCATGAGGGACCCACCCTTATGAATAGGTTAGTGCCATTAAAGGACTGCAAAGAATAGCTTAGGACCTTTGTTCCCTTATGCCTTTCACCATGTGGACACAGCAATAAGGTGCCATCTTGGAAGCAAAGACCAGGCCCTCACCAGACAGAAAACCTGCCAGTGCCTTGCTCTTGTACTTCCCAGCCTCTAGAACTGTGAGAAATAAATTTCTATTACTGATAAATTACCCTGCCTCAAGTATTTTGTTATAGCAGCATGAGCAGACAATGACATTATTTAAAAAAGGAAAAAACTATTAAGACACATGGGTTGTAAACCAGTACCCATGGTTTAATCTAACTATACATGTTTCCTCTAACTACATACCAATTTGTTTTTAAATCTGAATTTCAGAGGAAAGCTGTGAAATCCAACCTCAAGTGCATATATTCCCAAAGCAAAAACCCTACCTATCTATACTTGCCTGATTCTAAGCATTCCTATATATATTGGCTGGTATTTATTAATTCTGTTTAAGTAGGCAAGCAGTTGATAGATACTAGAAGTTTAAAAAAATGAAAGAAAAGAATAGTTTTAACTTTGTCAGTAGGGAAAAGTCAGCTATGATCCAGTTTTAACAGTGAAATATACTCACTCTTCTATGATTTGCAAAGGCCAGTTTGAGACATTTCTATATGGACAAAGAGAAATACAGGAAAGCTGGAGGTGGAAGACATTAAAGCAGAAGTATCAGGTTGGTTTTCCTCTCGGTGTGTTTTTATTTGTTGAGTGTTCTTATGAGAACCAGAGAAGCTGTGGTTTTCACTTTTTTTTCTAAGACATCCACAGAAGCTGTGATTTTTTTCTTCCTCTTTTTTTTTTTTTTTTAAGATAGCCACAGAAGCTGTGATGTGTGTTTTCATTTTGAAGGGTAAGTAGTTTGCCTGGGAGGATTAGGGAGAGCTATTCTTTAAATAACACTATAGGGTCCTTCTTCGCATCTCACCAATCCCCAGGCAAGCAAGGAGCACTTTTCACTCCCAGACCTCACTCTGCATCTAGGGCATAGTGAGTGAGAGAGACAGCTGAGCAGGGGGCTGTTCTGAAGAGCCTCTGACTATGCTAAGACTGGTATAGCAAGGAGGCCCGAAAAGAGGGTGTGGAAGAAAGGGGAGCAGCGTGAAGGTGGCACGTCCTGTCTCCCTCGTCTATCCCTTGCTCCCTGCCCCACTGCAGGAAAGCACTCATTCCACTTTCATTCCTCCCGTCCCACCTGTTCTGTGTCTATGATGCCCCATTTCTGGTCTTCCTGTAAACACTGGCTGTAAAGGGAAAAGAACTTATCATGCAGAGGAAAAAGTGCTGCACCAGGAGCTGTTGGAATGGACTCCTTTATAAAGCACCCATCTGGTGCCTGCCATGGGGTGAAGGACATAATTGGCAAAAAGACAGACAAATGCCTGCCCGCTTGGAGCTTATAGTCTGGCCAAGGAGGCAAATGTTAAGTAAAACAAATGAATGACAAGACAGAAGAGTGCACGGTACCCAGACAGCACCTAGGCTGGCGTGGGAGAAGGTCTGGGAATGTGACATTTCAGCTACTAGCTGAAGGGTGAGTTCTAGGAAGAGGAAGCAGAAGGTTCTATATGGAAGGAATCACATGTGCTAACTACCCTGAAATAGAAAAGAAATGGGGGAAGGGAACTGGAAGGAGGCTGGAACAGAGGCTCAGGGAGAGGAGCTAGGACCTCCATGATGTCAGCAGAGGTAGTAAAGGTTTGGGATGTTATCCTAAAAACCATAATGATTATTTGACAGGTTGTAAGCAAAAGAGAGCTCAGACCAGATTGCCATTTTTAAAAGACCTCTGTGCTTCCTATCTGTAGCAAACGGATAAGAGCTGACAAGTTGTGGAGCTATGCTCAGGTGTGTGCCCAGATGCAGATATGGGGAAGGCAGGAGTAGGGCTCTGCCAGAAGGAAACAACAAAAGGAGATTTCAAGGCATTGGCAGGAGATGGGCTGCAATGACGTAACATGGAATAGGCTCCCAGGGGAGAGAGGAGGATGAGGTATCAGTAGATTAGAGGTCCCAGCAAGGCAGGGACTGTTGTGCTGGAGACAGATAAGGGAACAAGCTAGAAGGACAGGATACTGGGGTAAACAAAGGGTTCAGAGACGGGGCCATTTGGGGGGTATAACATCCAGAATGTGACTTGACAAACGGTGGCTATGGGGGAGTTAGAAAACGAAGCTAAAGATCAGAAAGTCAAAGGACAAAGCTCAGGTTGCTCAAGAGCCCCATCCCAGTTCAGCTCCGACTCTCAGTCCCTGCAAGCAGCTCATCCATACCCAAGGTCTTCCAGAATGACAGCTTTAGAGCTCCTTCTAGGAAGAGTCTTACATCACCGCAACCTGAATGCTTGGCGTGACTTAATAAAAGCAACCCTCACCACAGTCATTTAGAAGTCCATGAGCTGCTTAACATGTCTTCCTAGGACAACAGTGGGTGTCACAAGTAGGAGTTATCAACTGCAAACCTGGCCTCCATTCCCATGGATTCAGTCTTTGTGGCTGAGCTCCACAGAATGGGCATCCACTATACTGCTTGCCCAACACTATGGCTGCTTGTATCATGTCTCTCCTTCTAGACAAGAGGGTCAAGGGCAGGTCATTATACTTCCTTCACAGTTCCCAGGACCATGCATGATAGGCAGTACCCAAAAAGGAATAAAGCAATCCATTGTACAAGAAGCTCAAAAGTAGCAAAACTAATCTAAGATATTAAAAGTCAGCATAATTGTCACATTGTGGTTGGGGACGGTGAGTGAAGGGAGTAGTGATGTTATATTTCTAGATCTGGGTGCTATTTATATGGATGTGTTCAGTCAAAATTCACAGGTCTATACAATTATGATCTCTATACTTTTCTGTATGTTTGTTACATTGCAATTCTTTTTAAGTACATGAAAGAATTGCTTGATTAGTTATAGAAACCAACTTAGCTTGAACTTCAAATGCTTCCCTGGTATAAGATTCAAAGAGAAGCTAAGCCAAGGGTTGGCAAATATTTTCTATAAAGGGCCAGATATTAAGTATCTTAGGCCTTACGGGACATAGGGGGTCTGCCACAACTACTCAATTTTGCCACATAGCACAAAAAGTAGCCATCCATAATGCATAGATGAATGCGTATGGTTCTGCTCCAATAAAACAGACTTATGAATACTGAACTTTGAATTTCATATAATTTACACTGTCCTAAAATGATATTCTTTTGATTTTAATTATTTAAAAATTTTAAAACCATACTTAGCTCTCCAGCTATACAAAAACAGCTGGAGAGCTGGCCCCGGGGAAAGAGTTAACTGCTGACCCTTGCACTAAGGGATGAGCATGTACAACACGTTTCCCGGCCTGCACACAGGCTTGGCCTCTCCCACCACTCGTCAGTCCCTCACATGCTCACCCACCTTTATAAGTAGGCATGCACTCCATCTTGTCACCACATGGATATTTACTATCCCGAGGTTTGATGGGGTCCGTTCGGCAGATGGAGTAAGGGTTGTAATCTTGTTTGTATGTTGTGACCAAATCCATATTCTCTTCAGCTGGGACATATGGCTTGTGCTGGTAGGCCTTCACTGGTCCCACTTTATGAGGCCCAAAATCCCTCCTGTAAGGAAAATAAGTACATGTTGTTGGGGTCCTGAGCTTAGAAAGAAGGCTTAAGTTCTCCAGTCAACCCAACGCGACAAACGTTTGCTGAGAAGTCATCTTCTACTTTATCCCCCAACTCCAACTGCTCTTCCTTCTCTATTTCTCGCTTTCAGGAAAGACACAGCTATTTCCTCTCACCCAAGCCAGACACTTGGACATTATCCCTGACTCCCTTTCCGCATGTCCCCAGGGTCTATCATTCACCAAGTGTGGCCCCTGCTACCCCATCAGCTTTCCCTTCCCCCTTGGCCCAAACCAGAGCCATTTCTCACTTGAGTCAGGAGGCAGCCTACCCCTGAGCCTCCCACCTCACTCCCACATCTTCTATTCCAACCCCATTAGTGTGACCAGAATAAATTTTCCAGGTGAAAAATCAAATCATTTCTCTTCTCAGTCTAAAAATCTTCCATATAAAAATCTAGCCCTCTCCCATAATTTATAAGCTTTCCTGGACCCAGGCCCTGCCTTCCTCTCCCAACCACACTGTGCTCCCACCACCATACAGGGCCCCTCTTCCAGGCCTGCCCTCTCCATCTCCTCCCACCCCACCTCTACACTGTGAAGCTAACTTCTTCCTTTCAGGTACTACCACCTCCCTCGTGGTGCTCCCAGTAGCTTCCCCTGCAAATGTTTATCTCCTTCCTCTATTTGACATCACACGAAACACAGAAAAGAAAAAGGTACATTAAATGGAGACCCTAGGACTTTTATTTCTCTGCTACTGTTGTCATTACCCCCATTATTTCAGGGAGCATGAGAACAGCAGCATCAAAAAAGCGTGATGGTCTTCACCAAACAGGAAGCCGTCTCTCCCACAGTGACAGAAAGGTTCGGATGCTCACTGCAACACCCTCGGGAACCACTGATAACGCCTGGCCTCGGCTTGGGCTCGTGTTGCCACCAGGGCGATCTCAGCTTCCCACTTCCCAACACTAACACTTTCCCCTCAAGGGCTTCTGCTTTACACAACAGTCCCTTTCTGCATGGAACCCATTTATCCAACCGGACAAGAGGAAGGTAGCTTTCCCCTGATGGTGCTTGCCAGAACAGGCCCGCCAAGGGAAGGGGAAGGTTTCCGGACAGGAAAACATTAGGCCCAAAAACCAATAAAACCCACTTCCCGGCCAAAATCTGGAGCAGCATTACTGAGCCATGCTTGACTAGCAAAGGTGACACGCTCCACTGTAAGCTGTCTTGCATGAATTATGCACGTGGTTGTCAATAAACACAAACCGAGCGGCTGAACCTGCTAGATGGGGTGGGAGGAAGGAGTTAGGAAGCATGAGAATTAGTCTCTCTAGGGCTCTAAGGAGGAAATGGGAGATGCTTCAGTTGAACTCCCATAATACCCTCCGGGTAGATGTCAAAATATACCATAGCTTCAGTTAGAGGAGGTTCAACCTGGACTCCCTTCCCAGGAGCCCCACTGCTGGCCTGAGGTGTCTGGAAGCTGACTGTGGATACGGGGCTTATGGAGCAACAAACAGGCTGAGCAGAAGCCAAGGGTCAGCGTCACACTTTCTCCCTTCTTAGCGAACAAGTGTCTCACCCTGATGTCTGTTCAGTACTAAACCACTGCAGCTTAAGACCTTAGACCACAGAGACAAGTGGAAATGCCCAGAAAACCCTGTCTGAAATCCAATTTAACTAGAACAGAGCTTTTGGTAAGAAAGTTTGACTTCTAAAGGGATTGCTCCCCAGGGAAGTTGAGCTTTCTTTACTTACTTCAAGACGGGATGGAATGGGGTGTGGTAAGCAACCTGAGACTATACATTGCTACACCCTCATATACCCACATTCAGTGATGGCTACCCAAGCCTTCAGCCCTCTTCACTTCCAAGGAGCACCAGGAAATACCCAGGGCAAATGATAAGGAATAAATCCCATGCTGAGTGCAGCAGTGAGCCCTCCAGCCTCGGAGTCCACTCACGAACCCTGCACACCTGCACATGAAGGCCGTGGCTTCCTCTTCTGATATTACTGCTCTGAGGGAGCCAATGTCCTCCCAGAGATGCTGGGAGAAGCTTCCAGGGCTGCCAGGCTCTCTAAGAACTAAAGCACACTTAATAGTCTTAACACGAAAAGAATTGATAATGCCCACAACCCAACCAGACACCTCAGGCCAGCAGTGAGGCTCCAGGGCAGGGAGTCCAGGTTGAACCTCCTCTAACTGAGGCTATGGTATATTTTGAAATCTACCCAGAGGGTGTTATGGGAGTTTAACTGAGGCATCTCCCATTGCTTCCTTAGAGCCCTAACCAGACTAACCTATCCTGAAGTTGGTTTCTCAAAGACAAAAGCCAGTACAGCAAAATCCTTGCTCACCACTTTTAGGAGATGAATTTTAATCTCCTTCTCCAGTACAAAATTTAAATTCCTTTGTAAATGTGCACCTATGATTGAATCTATCGATCAGCTATGACGAATGCAAATGATTATGAGGGGAAAAAAATTACCTACTTCTGAACAGAGGAAAAAATTTAAATTTAAAGTTCTAGTTATTTATACCCTACCTAAAAATACTTACTGTGGCTTACGAGTGAATTTAATCAGAATGGATGTGCTTCCTCATTCTGTTTTTATGTTGAGAACACTCACTGAAACCTATCATTAACCACAACACGCCTGCACGTCCCCAATCACACATAACCTTACATTCTTGAAGTTCATGTAAAAGAAAAGTCCTTGTTTTATTCTTCCCCACAGTTGCTCAAATTGAATAGCTTTCTGTATTGTTCCATTTTAAGGACAATGGCTCTCCCCTCTTTTCCTGTGGTACATTCCCCAGTCCTTGTGCCCATTGTGGCTAGGAACCAAGAAAAAAACATTGTTCAAAGATGTAAGTTTCTTTTAGGGAAGGAGCTATAAAAGTTATATAGTATGGAAGGCCAAGAGTTAAACTCAGAGTTAAGTGAAGGTTAAAGTGGCCCTGCTGGGGAAGTCATAACAACTTGACTTCAAATTGCTCGGCAAAGCTAAAGGAAGGTGTTTGACAAGAATCTGACAAAAGGAACAGGGAAGCAACAGAACAGCTAACTAGGGTCATGAGCCTGGAAGTGGGAAATGAGATTTTCACCGTGACAAAGCGGCCATACAGCACTTTTTTTTTTTAACCTACATTTAATGTTAATCTGTACAAACTTCAGAATTTGTTAGTGTGCCTGAGTAAGAGAAGTACCCCTCCCAGCCCCTGCCTCTTGCCCCAAACAAATCTTTTACCCCTACCCTGAATTTCCTCCACCTCTCTCTTTCTCAGGAGGCTTGTCCACGGACCATCTCCTAGACCAGTGATTTTCAACCAGTGTGCTGTGAGAGGATCCTAGATGTGCTGTAAAAATTTTTAAAGATCATTAAATTATTTTCAAAAGAAGCTCAGGCGCGGCACCTATAGCTCAGCGGCTAAGGGCGCCAGCCACATACACCAGAGCTGGCAGGTTCGAATCCAGCCCAGTCCTATCAAACAACAATGACAACTACAACCAAAAAATATCTGGGCCTTGAGGTGGGCACTTGTAGTCCCAGCTACTTGGGAGGCTGAGGCAAGAGCATCTCTTAAGCCCAAGAGTTTGAAGTTGCTGTGAGCTGTGCCACCACGGCACTATACCCAGGGCAACATAGTGATACTCTGCCTCACAAAAAAAGAAGAAGAAGGTCAAAACACAGTAAGTATATTCTTTTTTTTCTTCTCTCTTTTTTTTAATCAACATAACTTAAGTGTGCCAGAGAAGTTTAACCACAGGTTCAAGTGTGCCATGAGATAAAAAAAAAGGTTGAAAAGCACTGTCCTCAACTAGTTTTTCCACCTCCTCCCTATGATAGGGACTGTCTCCCATCTTTAAGAGTAAGAAATAAAACTCTACACTGAACTCCACTGTCCTCCATTGTCCTCCAGTTCTCTTCTCCACCCCTTCACCCCTTCTGCAAGTACCTCACCTCCCACTCACGCCATACCCTTTCAAATCTGACTACTCGCTGCTGGCTCTAGCCAAGGCCTCCAAGTCCTGCCATTTCCAGATCCAATCATTTTTTCTCCTCCTTCTTCTACTGTGTCCTCGGAGCATCTATCCTTTCGCTCATTTTTTAAATACTCCCTCCCTTGCTCCTCATGACTTGTTCTCTCTTGATTCTCCCCTATGGAGTTTTGCTCTTTGTCAATTGATTTCATTATTTCCATCTATAATTCTCAAACTTCTCAGGGTCAAAAGCACCCTCTAAGGCAGTGGTTCTCAACCTTCCTAATGCTGCAATGTATTTTCAGGTTGTGAACCACTGCTGTAAAGAAACCATTCTGTCATCCCAGGCAGGTCAGGGAGTCCATCCTAACACATGAAGAAAGATCTCTCAACTGAGTCATGGGGGGCTCATCTTCACTGTAACACATGAGATTCTAAACACATGGCCTCCAGGATAATTTACACAGGACCCACCTCTTCCTCTACCCTCTCAGTGCCTCAGCTCCACCCAGGCTGGAGTTCACATCCGTCATCACTTCACATACACTCTGTACAAAATAAAAAAAACTACCTAAAAGCACTAGAGCATAACCAAAACGGGCAAATTTTGGAGGAGAGTCAACAGACGGAAGGAGAAAATGGCAGCCCGCATGCACCAGGCAGGACAGCTAAATGGTGAGTCTTTCTTGGTTATCTTTCCTCAAGTAGAGAATCAGAGGACTAAGTTTGAGACAATCTTATGTGCTGGAAAATGAGGAAGGAATCCCAGAAAGGAGAAAGCCAACAATAGGACCCTCAAATTCTGTACATAAACTGGGTTGAAATCTCTCCTTAACCTCACATCAGCAGGCAGACTTCAAGCAACTACGCTCAAGAACAAGTCAGAGACTTGAAATGCCAATCAAGACACAGAATTTACATTTTAACCCTACCCCAAAACAAAACAATCATCTTTAGAGGGATGTAAAAAAATACCTGGAGAGTCTACAATGTAACAAATAACATTCACAATGTACAGAATCAGTCCAAAATATCTGACATACATAGAGGAAAATCTGACTCTGGCTCAAAAAAAGGAAAAAAAAAAAAGACAGTTATGGAGACCAACCCCCAAGCAGACTCCGATGTTGGACTTAACAAAGATTTTACAGCAGATATGTTAACCATACTCAAAGAGGAAAAGCAAAATAAGGTCATAATGAATTAAAAGATAGGAAATCACAGAAGAGAAATAGAAACTATATGAAAATAACCAAACGTAAATACTAAAATGGAAAAATACAAGATGTAGAATAAGACACTCTGTAGATGGGCTTAATAGCAGAAAAAAAGGAGGAGGAAAAACACAGTGAACTTGAAGCTAGATTTAATAGAAACTACCCAACCTGAAGAAAAAAGAGGGAAGAAAAAACGATTGGGGAAAAGAAATAGACCATCAGGGACGGCAAAGATACTTGAGGAAAACATGGGTAAAATTTTTGCAGATTTAATCAAAGACAATTCAAAGACTCTTAAACTGCCCAGGCAAGTGCAAAGCTGAGAATTCTATCGCATGTCTTCAGTTCTCAGCCCCAGTCTGTGGAGCTGGGGAAGTATATCCCCCAGTGGTCCAGCTCTGAGTCAGGGAGTTGAGTAAGCATTTGAACAAAAATGCATACATTTAAATGGATAAGGCAGGACTCAAGCCTGCTACCAGCTTTCCTGCTTCTCTCGTGGCTTTTGGAGGATAGGAATGCCCGTTCTGTCTTAGTTCTTCCCTCTCTTACTCTCTTCAGTTTACCAAGGAGTCTCATCAATAAATGAGTCTATGCCACCAACTCCTGCCCTCCAACTTTCGGCCAAACCCATCAAGTCTGAACCCCTCTGGGCCTCCCCTTTCTACCTGCTGTCCTGATTTCTTTAGGATAAAGGTCTCTGTCCTCAGAGGCTATTCATTTTGCCCATCTTTAGGGAGCTGGCTTAGCTAACAGAAATAAATGGCCCAAATTGGGGCCCAGATATTTTACATGGTGACATGCCTAAGGGGAAATGAAGCTTGAAGTGCAAACCTCTTATTCATAAATTGATCTCAGGTCTATCCGAACCAAAGGCAGATCCTATACTAGAGAATAACCAAGAGTTGCAAGAAACGGTTTCACACTAAGAAGGGCTGGAAATCGCAAGCATTCCCCTCATGGCACCTGCTGTAAATCGCCAAGATTTATGGTTAGTAAGAGTTGTGTGCAGCTGTAATCATACCTCATGCTGGGATGATAACCTTTCCAGAAACCAGGTGTTTTTTGTGTCTGGGCTTAATCACCAAACCCAGCCAAGCCCTGGGCCTCATGACTTTTTCATTCAGCAGGTGGGAATCCCACATCCAGTCTCAGAAACGAAGCAGGGTTGACGTTTAGATAAAGAAGTGGGTGGGATGTTCCAGTAATGAGACCTAAGAGTAGAAGGGCGATGGTATGTACAGATACAGGGGTGTGCAGATACAGGGGTATACAGATACAGGGGTGTGCAGATACAGGGGTACACAGCAGGCTGACCCATCCCTTCCCCTACAAGCCTCTGGTGGAACACTCAGATGGAGGCTTCTCTACTTTTCCTAAAATCAGCACAATTTTGTTCTCAGTCTATGAATATTAGTGCCCAGCAAGGCAGGCACAGGGTTGAGAAATAAGGAAATGGAGGTAGCAGGGAGAGAATAGATGCCTTCTGCTCATTTCCTCCTTACTTCTCATTTGGGGATAGAAAATAAAGAAGAGAAAACTCTATCTGCTTTTGCTTTTCCTCGTGAGTAACCTTGATACAGCCAGCTTCTCTTTTTAATGGCCTTTTGATCATTAACAGCTTATTTTGAACATTCTTTCAGTATCTGCATTCCTCCGCTCTAGCCACATCTTGATGTAAATTATATTTATTGTTACTCTGCCTCTGGCAGAAGCAGAGGGGCCTTCTGGGTGATATGTTTATTGTTGCAAGTGACACAAGGCAAGGATAATTTAGGACAGGTCAGAGGGTAAGTTTTTGTTTTGCAAGCACCATCAGGAGGAGGGAGGGTGATGGGGCAGGGCTCCTGCCGGAGCCGAGGGTTGTCCTCATTCTCCTAAGCTTCTGGGCAACAGACAAAGAGCATCCCCTGACGTCCAGCCTTACAGCATTCTTCTCTATACTTCTAGGATAGGAAATCCAACATCTCACTGTGTTCTTGATTTCCCGTAAATTAGGTAGGAAGCAGAACGCGATGTCTGCAGGCCATCCCTCAACACCACTCTCATCCTTTCTACCAATTACGTGTCTCTTATCCATGTGCCTAGAATGCTTCATTGTTGACCAGGGTTTCTTACAAGGAAAGCCGTGCTCAGGAACAGTCCACATCTCTCATCATGGTCTGCAGACTCTCAGAGATGAAGGATGCTGCTTTTCTGGCAAAATGAAACCCAGACTTTACAGTCCTTATTGTTTGATAAGTCATAAGTTGAAAAAAAATGGTTACATAAATGACAATTTAATACATCAGGACTCAGAAAAGCTCTGCTGTCAACTAAATCATTTAAGACACACGCTGAGAATAAAAGTGACCTGATTTGAGTCACTCATCAGACAAGGCCCTTGACTCCCCCTCATTCTCAAGCACAGAGGTCTCCACCCAGCTGAGGACCCCTTTGGCTTTGTTTCTACATTTGTGGGTCCTCTGCCCCCTAACCCAGGCATGGACTTCCTGTGATCTAAAAGTAGCAGCTTTTAGTCAACAGGAGTAACTCCAACCCACACCCTCAACAGCAAAAGCTTCTAGTCCCGTCCTGGGGAAACCTGGAGGCAGAGTGAATGAGAGCTGTTCTGCGTCACCTGAACGGTCTGGGACCTTCCCTAGCACAAAATATGGGGAAAGGGGGAGCAATAGGAAGAGAAGCCAGCAGGCCCTGAGCACCTGTAGAGTGCACGGCCTATGCTGGAATCATTCGTCTCTACCTCCCAGCAATCCTGCTCCAGGAAGGAGGAATGGAGAAGGCAGAGAACACATCCATCTTCCAGGTCTCACTCTCACTTGGGGACAAAATTGTACCACCTGAGACTCTGCCCACTTCCCCCAAAACACATTTCTGCTCTGCCAGATCACACGTCACGTCACCACCTGGAAGTCACTACCTAAATCATCAGTAGTAGACTCTACTAGAGCCTTGCACCATGTGTGACAACCCTGAGAGTTTTCCCCCACGCCCTCAATACAGACACCTCCGCCACACTGATGCACTGAGCCAAGTGGCCCAGGCTCGGCAGACTTACATTGAAAACATTTTAGTTCAGAAGTCAAAAGTAACTGAAAGGGAAATATAGTTTTGTTTTTTTTTTTTTTAAGACAGAGTCTCACTCTGTCATTTTTCTTTTTTTTTTTTTTTTTTTTTTTTTTTTTTTTGAGACAGAGCCTCAAGCTGTCCCCCCTGGGTAGAGTGCCGTGGCATTACAGCTCACAGCAACCTCCAACTCCTGGGCTCAAGCAAGTCTCCTGCCTCCACCTCCCAAGTAGCTGGGACCACAGGCGCCCGCCACAATGCCTGGCTATTTTTTGGTTGCAGCCGTCATTGTTGTTTGGCGGGTCCGGGCTGGGGATTCGAACCCGCCACCTTAGGTGTACGTGGCTGGCACCTTAGCCGGTTGAGCTATAGGCATCGAGCCTCATTTTTCTTTTTTAAGACAGAGTCTCATTCTGTTGCCCTGGCTAGAGTGCTGTGGCATCAGCCTAGCTCACAGCAACCTCAAACTCTTAGGATCAAGTGATCTGATCCTCCTGCCTCCGCTTCCTGAGTAGCTGGGCCTACAGGCATGCACTAACAAAATTTTTTCTATTTTTGGTAGAGATGGTGTCCTGATCTTGCTCAGGCTAGTCTCGAACTCCTGGCCTCAAGCAATCCTCCCACCTCAGCCTCCCAAAGGGCTAGGATTACAGCTGTGACTCACTTGGCCATTTTGTTCATATTTCTTTAAAAACATTTAGGAAAACTCCAAAATCTATAGCATAATTTCCCCAATAAAGCTCATTTTTTTCTCTATTGTCAAGTTCTTCCTCCGCTACCCACGCCAACTGGATCCTCTGATGTGACCAAGTCCAAACCTCCTTTGTCAGCAGCAGCCCTCTCTTTTTTGCATCCTTTATTATTTTACTTATCCTCCGACCTTTATTACATAGACCAACTCTGTCTTTCCATACACCTAACCCCAGCAAGCAGAAATCTTTTTTTCTTTAAGAGGGAGTTTGGGGAAAATTGATCAGGCTAATAAATGCAAGACTTTTTCTTCCAGAGATACAGTACAATAGCATTAATTCCACGTTGACACTGTACGTTAATGCATTAACACTGCACATCGCACTAATATTGTATATTCATACCGGACATTTCTGCTTTAGTATTACACAAGCATCATTAGCGCTACTTGTCCTCACCTTGCCGTGCTCAGGCCTTCCATGGGTACCAACCCTTTCTGATACTCCCGCCTGGGCTTGAAGGAGTCTCTGGGCAGGTAAGAGTGGTAAAGCGGGTAGTTCTCGGTGTACTCAGAGAGAAGACATGGTTTGTCTGTTTTATCGTATATCTTGGTAGGGAGATGTGGACAGTGATGCCGCCTATAAAAAAAACACAGAGTTAGATTGGTTACCTTCTTGGGAGGGTTACATCCAGGAGGCCACATCCTCCAAATGTGACCCAGACTATAAAGCCATATGACTGCCAGCATTGAAAACCAGAATTTAATCTTTTTTTTTTTTTTTTAGCTAAACTATGTGAAGTGGCCAGAATTTAGAAGATGGTCTGTAACTGCAGTGGTTAATCAAAATTCCTTTGGTCATAAGATTGCACACAAGCATGACTGGTGTTCAGCTGTTACACATGTCACACTACTTTTTGTAAACACTGGAATACTTCCATACCATAATAGAAAGTGGCTGTGGTCCTCGAGCTCTCTGAGTGCCACCCAGTTGCCCCAGACCCTCCCAACCACCTACATACTAACCTAACAGGGTGCTCCAAGGCTCTGCTCTAGGGCCAGGTTAACAGCTTTGCTAACTTGGTGCTTCCTAGGTCAATTCAGAACATCAGCATCACGCACACGTAACATCACACAAAGCAAAATCACTGCAGTTCTGCGTCTACTGAACACCGTGTCAAACCCTTTTCACAGTGAGTCTCCTTGGTTCTATTCTTTCAAGTCTTGTCTCAATTACTATATCCTTATACAGACTTTCCCTGATCATCTTATACCTACAAGACGCTCCATCACCCCATACCCTCTCCTCGCCCCTTTCCTGCACACACACACTGTCTCTCATTACCCTGGGCGTGCTTTTCTTATCACTTTATGTTACCTGTTTATTGTCTGTCTGACTTGAAAAACTCAGACCTTTTCAATCTTGTTCACTGCTACATCCCTAGTACCTCATATGCTGCCTGGCACGTAGTATGGTACACATTTAGTAAACATTTATTGAATGAATGGGTAAATAATTGAGTGATTGAATAAATTTTATGCCTCATTATGAACGAATTGACCAGATGATAAATGGAGAATATGTTGGAGTTATCATTTATAGTGAGTTTTTCCATTTTACATGCATGGTAATAAATGAAACTTCCTATTCTGCTTACAGCTGGGCTAAGGGCAGCTGGTGGAGCCGTCATGAACTGAGTAAGCAGTTATTTGTGTGCCCACAGACAATCCTTACAGACCATTTGGGATGCCTCCTATCATTAGGCACCAGCATATCTGAAACAAGTGCATGTAAGTGATTTCTGAATTAGTTATATCAGGGAATGGCACAGAACTGTTTTTATGTTTTCACACTGGACTAATTTTAATCACAGAAACTAAAATATAGTACTCTGGGGCAGCACCCAGAAGGGAAGGCAGAAAAAAATAACAGAGAGAAAGAGACAGAGAACTCCTCACTGCTCTAACACAAAGCTATTTTCCAGTCCACAACTGGCAAGCTTCTCCAGGCATTCATAAGTTCAACCATATGTAAATGTTGCTACCCTCCCTGCTGTTACTGTATATCTCTCTGCAACCCCACCACCCCTAGAGAAAATTACGGATGCCTGAATTGATCAAACAGCTAGAATGCATATTAACAGGGTCCTTTAGAGATAGTCCCATTTATTTTCTTCTCATTTGTAGATTTGTGTATTGAATTGTATGAAATTGTCTCATTTCCTGTTTGTTTTTATTATAAAAGTAGTATTAATCCCCATATAAGGAAATTTCCCATCAATATGCTGTCCTTACACTATGAATATCTAAACTTCATAGTGTTAAAAAAGAGTTTAGTTTCTCTTCAAAATGCACATTGGTGATATTTATCATCCAAAGCTATTTCTACATTGACTACACATTTATTTTATACACATTTCATAAAATTATCTCTTAATGGTTGGTACAGAAGTTGATGAGTATTTTAAACTACCTCCTGTTCACTCAAGAGATAAACTGTGTTGTATAGTAAACAAAATAACCATCTCACATAGTACATAAATGTGAGATATTACCATTTCTATGCTCACAATCAGCTCAATTATCTGAGATTTCAGTCTAAGCTAACCAACACCCTATCATTTTAGGATTCCTACAAACCTCAAATCACAAACCAAGAAGCACTGCCTACCCAAAATACCTCTGTGTATATATTTTATTCTCCCTGCACTCTTTGAGGGAAAAGTCAAGCTGTCACTAAGGATAAGGAAAATTCAAGCATTCACAGTAAAAGGGACTCTCTAGGCATAGCAATATTCCCCTTCTTGTGCCCCTTGTTTTTTAAACCAGTAAAACTTCACTTTTATATAACTCCCTTTCCATATCATTACTTTTTTTTAATGTAACACACTGTAAGGATTTATTCCAAAAGAAAAATATATTTTTTGGCAAAATACTGCAATATGATCAGTACCTTGAGAGGGGATTTCAGTACAGCAACAAGCTTCCATCTAGACAGTGAAATTCCATTAAATGGAATTATACCAACATATATTTATAGGGCAGATTTTGACTTCTTAGTTTAACCAAAACCTTGTGTTGCTTTGAAATATCAAAAATTCTTATTCAAAGCTAGGCAGCAGCTCATGGGGTTGCCTCCTTTCCCCTCCTGTACCCCTAAAACTCGAACATCCCCTGGAGACACTTAGCATTGCAATTCCTCACTGCAGGTCTGCCTGCTCCTTCATTAACCAGGAGTTCCTCATGGATAAAAACCAAGCCTGACGTCTCTGTGTCCTGGAAGCGAGTCCAGTGCTAATCCATTAATTTCATAGATGAATGTACAGCTGGACAGAGTATAGGAAGACAAACTGCTGACAGAAAGATGTTTACAAGTCGGCAGGAAAAGGGAAATGACTGATTGGTTCGAACATCAGGAGAGCCAAAAGGGAAAAGATTTAGAGTCAGTGTTTATAGAACTAAGTATCTAAGTTAGTTTGTAGAATCTCTGTGCTTGGGATATTTAAAAGTACACTTGATGGCCGTGAACCACAGAACTAAGATCTCTCCAAGCTCTGTGATACAGGGTGGGTGCACCCCAGCTTGGTTAGCACCAGCCACCCAGGAACACCTGCTGCACCTTCTGCGTCTCTGCCGGCGGTGTTGGGGCAATGGACGATGGGCAGCAGAGCTGGAGAACCAAGCACCGCAGAGAGGGCGAGCATGGCTGAAGCCCAAGGGTCCCTAGTTAGTTGAGGGAGACCATGGCACAGCCCACGCTGCTGCCGGTACCAACCCCAGAACCCCCCTTGGACCTAGACAGCCCTCCTCTGGCTGTAGTACTCCCTATGAGCATTTCACAGTCCCAAGGGTGATACAGGGTTCCCTCATTCAGTTGAACCTCTCATTTCTTAGGCCTGGGCAATTTCATGAATGGACTGTATCCATTCATTACTGCATTCATTTAGCTTGCCCCTAGCAGAAGGAACTGTATCCTTTCATTAAAGCATTCATTCATCTTACCCCAGCCAAAGGACAGTATCCACTCATTAATGCACAAGTTCACCTTACCCCAGCTGAAAGGACTGTATCCATTTATTAATGCATTCATTCATCTTGCCCCAGCTAAAGCAACTGTATCCATTCATTAATGAGTTCATTCATCTTACTCCAGCCAAAAGGACAGTATCCACCCATTAATACATGCATTCACCTTACCCCAGCTGAAAGGACTGTATCCATTTATTAATACATTCATTCATCTTGACCCAGATAAAAGGACTATATCCATTCATTTGTTACTGAATCCAAGCCAAATGTAACTACAAAGGACCCAATGCAACTATACATACTCCTCAACAAAGAACCCAAGCAGAGAGATTTTCTGACTTAAGTCTTTCCCTCTGCCATGAGCTCTGGTGCTTTCTCTGTATTCTTCTCTGTAAAATAAATCCTGTCTTGCCACTGACCTGTGGTCGGTGGATTCATTCTTCAAATCCCAGATTTCAAGGATCTCCTGAAGAAGAAACTTTGGTATCGCTTATATCATTTTAACAGCTGCCTTGACCACCTTGCTCAGGTGCACACGCAACAAACCCAGATGGAGCCAATAGTCAGGGAGGAAAAGAGGAAGCAGGTTTCTTCAATCTAGTTGAATCTCTAAAGTCTCCCACTCCAGAATTTATGACCCTGAGGTAAAAGGAAATACATGCCAACTTTCTCTGATACTTGGTAAAGGGAGTGGTAGAGACCTATCAATGGAATCCAGAAAAAGTTACTAAGACTGGATTCTGAGCATGGACTCCAAGTTAGAATCATAGAATTTTAAAATTGAAAGGGCCACGGAGAATATCCGATCCAATGTCTCCACCATGGAGATGAAAAATCTGAAGCTCAGAATGATGTGACCTAGCCATTTAGGACTCAGCAACCCTAGAGGGGATCAAAATAAACTTAAGGATATAACAAGTACCTCTCTAGAGTAATGCCATCTAAGAGAAATATTGATAGAATGCAAGCCACAAATGAGAACCATATATGCCATTTTAAATGTCCTAGTAGCCACATTAAAAGGGTTAAAAAGAAAAATCCAGGCATGGTGATACACACCTGTAGTCCCTGCTACTCAGGAGGATCACTTGAGCCTAGGATTTCAAGGCTATAATGTGCTACGACCATGCCTGTTAATAGCCACTGACTAAACCCCAGCCTAGGCAACATAGCAAAACCTATCTTTATAAAATAAATAGATAAAAAATATATATATACAAAAGGTAAAAAGAAACAGGTGAAGTTAATTTGATAACATTTTATTTAATCTAGTATATCTAAAATATTAACTCAATATGTAATTGGTATAAAAAATCAATGAGATATTTGACTTTCCTATGACACTTCAAAATCCAGAGTGTGGCTCGGCGCCTATAGCTCAACCGGCTAAGGCGCCAGCCACGTACACCTAAGGTGGCAGGTTCAAATCCCCAGCCCGGACCTGCCAAACAACAATGACGGCTGCAACCAAAAAATAGCCGGGCGTTGTGGCGGGTGCCTGTGGTCCCAGCTACTTGGGAGGCGGAGGCAGGAGACTCGCTTGAGCCCAGGAGTTGGAGGTTGCTGTGAGCTGTAATGCCACGGCACTCTGCCCAGGGGGACAG